CAAAAAAAGTGATTTTGGGCATCTGAAAGCACTTTTTTTCTCTTAAGATATATATAAAAGAAAACCAAAGTTGTTTTATCAGTAAGGTATGGTGCACTGCTGCTTTGTGTGTGATAGTCCAGAATATCGTTTTCCACTTCTCCAGTGCGAATCTAATGCTGCTGTGGGTTATCTGGCAAATGTGAGCACAAAGCAAGATTGAGATTGTTATATCCTTATGTGAGCACAAAGCAAGATCGAGATTGTTATATCCTTATGTGAGCACAAAGCATATGTGAGTACAAAGTAAGATCGAGGTTGTTATTTCGTTTGTCTCACCAGTGAGCAACGCAAGTTTCATGTGCTTCTTAGAGGCAGTTTAAGAAACTGATCTTTTATCTTAGTTATGTCTGCTAAAAATATAAAATACTCGCGCATTTTTCAAAAATTATACACAGAGAACTTGTTGTTGTGACTTATCTCACTTGTCTGACAGTAACATCAGAACAAGCCCAGAAATTCATTTTGGTAAGGAGTGCAAGATTGTGCCTGTCTTGAGCCTTGAGGACCATGCAGTTGACAGTATGGGTTCTGCTCAGTTCCGCCCCCAATTTTGAAGGAGAGCACCCCGTGGGGGATGGGTATGAGGGTCTCCTACCTCTCTTCCCCTACCACAAACCTCTCGAGAGAACTTTTGGCTCTGCATATATAGAGTATCCCCATGCTGCACAGATGCTATGCATTTACAAACACCCATGCCGGGTTTATCCCCGGCCCTTCGATACAGCAATCAGCGTTGCTAACCACTATCCTGGTTGGGTGACACACAGAAGAATTTCCTTCTATTATTTTATCAAAGATATGTAATATTGCTATGCATATAATTTGTAATTGCATTTTTTCGGTTTCATATGGTCGAAGTGCCAATGTTCTTAAACACATGCATACACAAGGATAATTTAAGTTGTATTGGAAAAAAAATCAAATTTTCTGTGGAAACAAAGACCAAAAAATTATTAATGCAGAATGCCTGTTCTCTGCCTTTTTACTGGAGCACAACCTGCTACTGAATGCATTGGATCGTGTTACAATTTTATTTAGGAACATCTTTCTCGGCAGTGAAATCACTAAGAAATAATCAAGTGCAAGGGTAAAAAAAGCTGTAATTGCAGAAGAAATGGGTTCAAGAAATTCATATGTAAAATAAATCTACAGTTATTGATTGCATTAAAACTATTCCATTCTCCCTCTTATGAATGGAAGCAATAATACCGATGCAAAGCTGAGTCCAATTTTTGTTTGTTTGTTTCTTTTTTTTAATCCAGGGTGTTCAGAAATGGAGTGTAGTTTATTTTATGTCCCCACTTTAGAAGAAGATTTGACAGGCTTTAATACACAGCACAGGTAATTATTAAAACTTTGAAAAGAAGTGTAATTCTTCAGGATAATTGCTTAGCACTTAATTCTGATAATGCCAGGAATGGTAGGCTTGAAGACTGATGTTGTAGGCATGTTAAAGAAAAGAAAATTCATATTTGCAAATTATGAAGTGCACCTGTCACCTTTTAAATTTAGCCGTTGATAGAGGTCAGTTTCTTTGCCAATAAGTATGGATGAACACGTTGATATTTATTATTATCTTGAAAGTATTTCTAAAAAAAAAGGGAAAATTGAAACAATTCTAACAGTTGCATAATACTGAAATAAGAACTAATCTGAAATATATATGTACATACTGGTTATTTGTATCGAAGTTATCTAAAATCCTCGACCACTTCTTACATTTTTAAAGAACAAAGTAAATTCTTCTAGAGGTAAGATAAAAGGCTGTCTCAAAATCTTAGTTATAAAATGCTTTAAGTAAATGGAGTAGTTATATCGTCTGTTGTTAAAAATAGGTGTGAGAAAAATTAACTAAGAGAATTAAATTCATAATAACCAAGGGAACCAAATCCATTAAATTTATTAAGAGAGACTTAAGTAATTTCTGCCCGTGTGAGCAATTTAATTGGCAGTTCTCAAAATAATACTACGAAATATAAGCGTAAAGCTCTCCCAAAATAAAGATAATTGCTTGATGAGGACCACATTTTCCGATTATTGTAAGTTTTTCTTATGAAGAACGAATATTTTATCTGTTTGTCTTCGGACCTTTAATAAGGTTTATTCCATTTTGCCATCATTCGATGTTCGTAACACAATTCTTCAGTGCAAAATTCCATTAATGCATGTTTTATAATCAATGATTAATGATCTGGTTAAAGTATCATTTAATGATTAGGGAAACTGATTAGAGTAATTTCTACTATTAGAAGGTTCAAGTAATAAAACCTTTTTTTTCTATACTTGTATTTTTACATTATTTGCATTTAAATATTATCTGAACTTTCAGACATTTATTAGTTACTATTAAATTTAGTTACTATTTAAAGTTAATTCATTATTAAGAACTATATTTTCTTTCTATATATTTTCATTAATCGTTTTTGTCATTGAGAAAATTCTCCAATTTAAAAAAAAAAAAAAAAAAGTCTCCTGATTTCTGAGTGTCGTAGGTTGGTAAGTAGTGTGCAGTATAAGTCCAATGATTAAGAAGACAGCACTGGTTATTATGAAATGCAGAAAACCTCAAAATTTGGCAAGAGTAAAAAATTTGTTTCTAACTTATAGCAACAAGAACTCATGAATAACAAGTAGTATTTTTAGTGATTTTCTTTTGAAATGTGACAGTAAACTGCAAAATGGGAAAAAAAAAAAAAAAACCCTTATAAGGTAATGCTTTTGATATCATATTTTTTTTGGAAGGAAAAGGGAAAAAGTCTGTTTTCCTGCAAATGTAATTTCTAACATTCAGCATTTAGTACAGGGTATAATAAAAGTTCAAATATTGTTACAAGAAAGTGGTTCAGCAACTGAAGAACAGAATTCAGTTTTGTTTTCAAGACTTAGAAGGGCAATATCTCTGCGAGAGACCATGAATGTTATAGTCAACACAGGGGTTTTAATCTCTTAAAATTGGTTAAAAACTGTTTTTGAAAATACAGCTTTTATGTAGAAGCTTCAGAGGAACTTCAAATTAATGTTTTGGACATCAGGGTTCATTTTTAGAATGTAAATCACAACTGCATGTGCTAAAAGAACATGAGAAACTAAAAGCAAAACAAGAAAAATTCTTGAACTGAAAGGTGCTGATCAGAAAAGTTACTAGTAGTATTAAGAAATTCAGAATACATTTGACAAATTGCTGTTTGACAGTATGAACAAAAATAGCTGGAATAATTTTTTATAATAGATAAAATTTCATCAAGAACATAATTTATTTTTAAAAAATTAATTTCAAAATTGCATAAATACTTTAATTATAGCATTTTTTATAATTTTTGAATTAGATGTTAATTACTAATTTACTGGATAAGTTTAATACTGATATCACAGTCTGCAATGCACAAATTGCCATCCATTGCTTAATAAACTTAATTGCTTAATAAACTCAAATATGTTTGAAATGGAGGTCATTTTAATAAGCTGTAGGTATTATACGTCCATTATAGTTTTGCAGTTCTGTTTTCAGCCATATTAAAAAAAAAAGAAAACTTGCTTACTTTGTGATAAATGTCCTTTATTATTCATTATTTGGGTAAATGTCCTTTATTATTCATTATTTGGGTAAATGTTCTTTATTATTCATTGTTTTGGTGTTTTCATGGTTTTTCTGTTTTGCATAATCTCACGCAAAAGCAAAAATATAAATTTTATGAGCATTTTCTTTCTTTTCTTTCTTTCTTTTTTTTTTTTTTTTTTTTTTTTTGTGATACTTCATTTTCTGTACAGCATGCAGTTTTTAGACCAAATTTGAGTTTAAGTTACTCTGTTGTTTAGTTTTATTATGGTGCTTTTTGATTTTTGTTTACTTTTGAAGTTTCTGTAAAACTCTTACCAAGAAAATGCGAGTTTTGATGTTTCTGGGAAAAAAAAAAAAAAAAAAATTTCTTGCGCCTTTGATAAAATGCCCCCGCCTTTTTAAATGGAAAACTGAGATACATAGCTGAGAAAAGAATATATTTTTAGTAAAATTTCCTGTTGTGCAAAGTTTCCTGCATTTGAGGCATTCAAAAGAAAGAACAACAACAAAATATGATTCTCATCACAAGAATCAGACTTTTATCAGTGTGTGTTTTAAAGAATCGAATTTAAGTCAAGGTCAGACATTTATTCCAAAAATATCCATACCTGATTTAAAGCCATACTACATATTTCAATGCCATGTTAGTATATTTTGGCTAATTTCTTTTTCCATGCCTTTAGCTCGTTAATAGACAAAATTGAATGGTTGAAGACAATAACAAGGAAATGTTGTCTAATTTCATGACAACCCTCTAAAAAAATCACGAGGAAAGAGATGGAGGTAACACAGTACAGTAATTTCAGCTTAGTCACATTTTAAATTAAGGATGTAGGCATTTGAATGCAATCTTTGTGAAGAATATATTTTTCTAGAAGAAACAGTATAGTTGCTTGTTCATGTCTTGGCAATCCCAAGTTGTGAAATCCATTGCAATTAAAAAAAAAAAAAAAAATGTAGTGCAAGTAATGGTTATGAAGACAGTTATTGCCAGGAAAGAAGCCAAACCAAACTGTTAATACCTTGTGCAAAAGAAATATACCAGCACCAAATGGTATGTCCTATAATAAAAAAGTACTCATCAGGTTGAGTAAATATTAAGGAAAATTTTTTAATAAAATTGTGTTTGATAAGGGAAAAGAGAGATTTAAATTCATTTTCATATTCAGTATCTCCCTTCCCCCCAAAAAAAATGAGTAGAAATTAACTTTTTTTTTTTACAGCGAAAATACGTGTATTATTTAATTATATTTACATTACTTTTATTGAGAATAGCAAAAATTTAGTGCTTTCTTTGAATGCTTTTCCCCTCTAAATTAATGTTATTTGTTAAAAGTAATCAATATTATTGTATAATTTGTTATTTAGCATTTAAAATTCCACATCAATTCTTTTATAGTACAACTTTTATGGTGAGAAGGTTGTGGCAGCATGTGTTGAAAATGGCACACACCATGTGGATCTCAGTGGAGAGATGAAGGTTGAGTATTGTTTCTTATTGTTGTTAATGCAAAATAACTCGAAGTTCAGATTTATGGACTTCATTATAGTTGTGTAAATACACTTAATGTATTTTGCATCCTTTTGCAACACAAAAACTGCTTGGTTCATCTTAAAATGAAATAAATATTTTAATAAGCTTAAAATGAAATAAATATTTCAATAAGAAAATAATTCATATTTATATAAAATGTGGATTTTTGTCTTTTATGTGTATAAAATTGTATATTTAATGTTAGAATTTAAATTCTCCATATAAAACTGTAGTGGAATGTAATTTAATGTTTCTATATAATTATTAATATTTCTTAAGTGGCAATATGATGTAATATTTTGAATAGTTATTAAGATTAGCCGTGTGGCAACAATGAGTCGAGCTAAAAACTTGGAGTGTTCCTTGATAAGCGTTGTGAAGCTTTATTTAAGCGCAGATGCATGTTTTATTACCTGCTACAAAAAAAGATAAACTTCAAAGGGACTTCAAATTATATGCTGCCAATGGCACAGAAATTCCCACTTATAGAGTAAAAATTTTAACGCTTGATCTTGGCCTTCGTCGAACTTTTCGATGGTCATTCATTATTGCCAAAATTAATAAAGGCATAATCGGAGCAGACTTTTTGGACCATTTCAAGTTATTAATTGATTTAAACAACAAAAGATTAATCAATGGTGTAACTAGCCTTACTACTCAGTGTAAAATTACATCCCTCTCCATGTACATGATAAGCTAAAATACATGATCTGTTATCCAAGTATCCGAATACTATTACAAAACCTAATCTTTTGATAACATCGAAGACTTAATGCTATAACTATTCCTGACTGATACTCTATTCCTAGAATTAAAGATTTTAACCACATTTTAAAAAATATTTTCTAAAATTGATCTTTTCAAAGCCTATTTTCAAATTCCTATAGCCGAAGAGGTCAAACAGAAAACTGCCATAATTACACCATTTGGCCTCTATGAATTTAATGTAACGAGCTTCGGTTTGCGAAATGCACCAGCTACTTTTCAAAGGTTCATACATGAAGTATTTCAAGGTTTGGACTTTACTTTTCCATATCTCGATGACATATTAATTGCTTCTGCCTCAGAAGAAGAACAGAGACATCACTTGAAACTTGTTTTTGAAAGATTAAATGCTTTTTGAGAATCAACATTTCTAAGTCGATCATGGGTGTTGATAACTTAGAATTTTTAGGATATCTTATACACCGGAAGAATATCGTCCTCTACATGAAAAAGTTGAAGCAATAATGAATTATAAATTACCAGACACTATCCATGATTTGCAAACTTTCTTAGGAATGCTTAATTTTTATTGATCGTTTCTGAAAGATGCTGCTAAGACACAAGCAATACTTCATTAATACCTAAAGGGTGCTAGCTAAAAAAAAAAAAAAAAAAAGTTAGATGAAGCTATATTTAACTTGTAAATGTAAACAGGATTTGGCAAATGTAGCTCTTTTAAGTTATCCCAATTCAGATTTGCCCTTTTCACTATGCACGGATGCATCTGACTGGGCTATTGGTGCAGTTCTCCAACAGTTTGAAAATTTAGCCTGGAAACCTTTATCATTGTATTCAAAAAAATTAAATAGCACTCAGAAAAATTACAGTACTTATGACCGCGAGTTACCGGGAATACATCTTGCAATTAAGCATTTTTAACATGTTAGAAGGTCACAATTTCAAAATTTTTACAGATCATAAACCACTAGTTTATGCTTTCAGACAAAAGAGCGAAAAGGCATCACCAAAACAAATGCGCCAATTGCAATACATATCTCAATTTTCTACTATCATATGCCATATTAGTGGAAGTGAAAACATTGTTGCAGATCAGTTATCAAGAATAGCCTATGCCTCTATTTCACTCATTGATTATGGTAAAATTGCTGACAAACAAGTTAATGATAAAGAATTACAAGATTTACAAGCTCAAAACAAAACGTTAAATTTCAAAAGTTATTTACTTCCATCTGGTAGAAATCTGTGGTGTGATAAATCGTCTTCTAACATTAGACCATTTATACCCAAGCAGTTTAGAATGGATGTATTTCAACAAATCCATGGGCCTGCTATCCAGGAATAAAGTCGACTGTTAAAGAAATGACGTCCAAATTTATTTGGCCAAATATCAAAAAGGATAAACAAACATGGAGTCATGCCTGTATTGGTTGTTAAAAAAATAAGGTTTCATGTTATACAAAGTCTGAATTAGGAACTTACAGCAGCCTGATGAAAGTTTTACTATAGTTCACATTGACTTAATAGGTCCTTATTCACCATCTGATAATTTTGTGTATTGCTTGACTTGCATTGATCGTTATACTGGTTGGATGGAAGCCATTCCTTTGTGTGACATAACAGCAGAAACCGTTGCCAGAGCATTTTATAAAAATCAGATTACTCGTTTTGGAGTTCCTTACCAAGTTATTACAGATCGTGGAGCATAGTTTACTTCTGAACTATTTCGAACCTTGGCAATTATATGTTGAGGCAAAATTCAACATACAACTTCCTGTCATTCACAGTGTAATGACAAAATTGAGAGATTTCATCGAACTTTGAAACTTGCTATCAAATGTCATAATTCCATTAAGTGGTCTGAATCCATTCCAACAATTCTTCTGGGTCTTAGGGAAGCCTTAAAAAGACTGTGGATATTCCATTGCACTAATGGTTTACGGGAAAACACTCAAACTTCCTGGAGAATTTTTTGATAAACCAACAGTCTCTATAACACCTCAAACATTTTTGGATAAATTGCAAAAGCAAATGGAATTGTTCAAGCCCTCTGCGGTACAGCGAAAAATGATTCCTAAAGTTTTTGACCGTAAAGATCTAAATGTGTGTACTCATGTTTTCCTAAGAACTGATAGAGTCAAGAAACCATTAGAACCTAGTTATGAAGGACCCTTCAAAGTACCTAAAAGAATGGAAAAATACTTCTTGTTACAAATCAAAGGTAAGGTACTAAACATTTCGATTGACAGGCTGAAGCCAGCCTATTGTTTGACATCAGGCGAGCAAAGGCTGGAATCGGAAACTTCTGACACCCAGCCCAAGATTCGGACTTTGTTAAAATCTGAGAGCAATGATGAACGACCTCAAGGTCTCACAAACTGGACAACTAATAAAATGTCCTTCACGTTTTAGTAACAATCTTGAACATTTTTCCTAATGTCTTTTATTGAATATGTTTAATTGTACTTGTATTTATTTATTAGATTTAGTATTTTTAATTCTAATGTCAGCTTACACTACATTACTCCACTACCAGAATCTCTTAAATCATAACACAGTTGCTGGAGGGGGGGCCGTAATGTAATGGAACATAATTTAGTGTTTCTATATAAGTATTAAGATTTCTTAAGTGGCAACATGATGTAATGTTTTAAATAGTTATTAAGGTTTGCCATGTGGCAACAACGAGTCAAGCTAAAAACATTTACTTCGAGTGTTTCTTGATAAGTGTTGGTAAGTGTTGCATTAACTGGTTCTTAAAAGTTTTTTATATTTTTATGTAAAAAATAAGTAACATGTTGCAAACAAGAATGGAAATTGTAAAAATAAATATACTGTATCTTTTAAGACCAAAATAAGCATTTATTTCATTTATACTCTGGCTGATCAGTTTTGATTTCGCTTATTCGTCAAATCCACAAAACTAAATAGCTACATTTTCAGTGTCTCTTCTCTCTCTTTTGGCAGAGGGGAGTAATCATTCTATTGTTTTATCTTCATCTTCATGTTTGTAATGGTAGGAAATGCTTTTAAAAAAGTATTAGCTATTTCAAATACAGATCAAAAATATTTTTCTTTTAATGTTTGGGAAAATTTAAAAGCTTTTATGTATAATTGCAACTTAGATTTGAAATTTACATGGAAATAGAGCTTTTGATTTTCAGTAAAATGGAAGTACAGGTTCCTGATTTGACATTAAATGTACTGACGAATATACAGTAGAATGTAATATACAGTACAGTAGAAATACTGATTATAGGCTCATATTTGCTGATCTTCGTAACTGATTCCATAATTAATGTTTCTAATAATGTTCCATTGAATTATTATCAGTGGCTGAGCAGCAAAATCTTTGAATACTGGTAGTTTGAACTAGAATCACATTTTAACCAATGGGCTGGCTGCAAGGCCATTTTCATTGTTCTCCCCATGTGTAACATGAATATGAGCCTATTTTCCTTAGAAAAATCCTTCACAAAGGCATCCTTTCCCTTAGGCAAATAGCCCTCACTTTCTGTGGCATAATAAGCCAACCAAACCAAATTAAATCCTTTAAGTTATAGAAAGGATTTTGTTTTTTTGTAGCATTTTTAAAACCTCCATTCCACAAATCATTGTTTTTGTTGAATAACATTTAACTTAATGTGAAATAATAACTTTTCAAATATGAAAAAAGAAAGAAATTCTGTTGTACAATCATTTATTGTATTTAACTGCAGTGTTAAGTAATTAGTTCATAATCTTTATAAAACTTATTAAGTAAAACTAAATTTTATTTGAATCCAGGAAATAATCATGTGTATTGACCATTTCTTGAAATTCATACTCAGAGGTTTATGTTATTTAATCGCTTAATAACTATTTTTATTTCATGAAAAATAGTCCAGAATAGTCCCCCCCTTTTTTTAGATAATTAAAATTTGAATAGTTCTTGCTTTAGTATATGAAAACATTTAATGGATTTTTAAACAATTCATGTTCACATATATTTTAGTAGCACAATTTTTAGTCACTTCAACTGCCTTCAGACGTGAGTGCTACAGGGTTACAAATCCTTCATCATCTAATCTTTAAGATAACAATGCAGATCATCGTATATTTTTTCAATTTACCAAAAGAAATGTTAAATGTGCCTGATTGTATATACTTCTGAAACATCATTATTAAAAAAAATTGTAATTATGTATTTAAAAATTATTTAATATTCCTTAGGAAAATTTGAATTTACAATGAGCATTTTAATACTACCAGTTTTTACAATATCATATCTTGATAGTTATTGGTAATCTTACAGTGGTCTTCGAGAAATTTCCTCCTTGCCTTCCTTAACTTTTTCAAAAATTGATTTATACTCTTCTGTTGTAAATAATTGATGATCCTTTTCTGATTTCAACATGTCCAAATTATCATCAAAATGTGACTTCATGACTTCTAAATCATCATCCTTTTTGCTTACAAATGCAGTGAAATTTTCGAGACAAATATGCGCATATAGAACAATTGAAGTTGTCAGTCAAACACAAAATATTCATGGGCATTTTGGAAAAATGTTGCTGCCTTCATCTAAAATAAACAATCACCTAATTTTGCCTAGCTGTTGCTAGAGGAAAAACAAACTGATAAGCTCACAAAAGCTACAGTATGGTTTGCATAATGGCGAGGCCCTGATATCGGAAAATCATATGCATGTGTCAAACTCGTATGCCTGTGGGAAGTCTCAAACTCATTGCATTGAAAATTTTTACATTTACCATTCGTTGTTGGAAATTATTAATAACAACTGTTTCATGAGATAAATTATACACCTTAACTGGTTTATTTGGTTCTTATTAATAACAATTGATTAATTACATTGATCATAACATATATCTGTAATAATTTAAAAGTCAGTTATGCAGTAGACAATGTGGTTTATGGAGTGATGAAGATTGGTGCATAGAGATAGTGCAACAGTCAGTGCTGGTCTACTGTTTCTTTACTTTGATTTAAGCAAATACCAATAAATTGGGGCAATAAGCATGCCTGTTCTTGAAAAACTATATCAGTACCTTTTTACATTTTTTAAATATAATTGAAGAAAGGAACAAGTATAATTGAAGAAAGCAGCAAGCATTAGCAAGTTGGCAGTAGAAAATCAAGAGAGAGAATATGATGTATGCAAGATGAAATGCCTGTTCATAAGGATTTAATTTTTCTTTAGTTTTATTTTGATTGGTTAATTTTAAGTTTTAATTAGCTAATTTGAAATTATTACTGGCTGAAGCTTTATGTAAGCGCCTACATTATTAGCATTATGCAAGAATCATATGGCATAGATTAATTTTGAAATGACACTGTTTAGAATGGTTTATTAAATGCAGTTACTATTTTTAGAACGGAAAGGGGAAATTACCAAATTAAAAGGGAAAGGTAGTTGTAAATTAAAATTAGAATTTTGACTTTTCTTTGACTCTGTATCTTACACACATGTCAAACATTGCAATAATAAATGAGAGGTTTACTAATTACTTTTTAGATAAATATATTTTATGCAGTAAATAATGAATTAATAGAAGTAGATAATAAGAGATTATGAATTTTTACAGGTCTTAACATCGGCTTAGCAAGAAAGCCAGAATTGCCATCTCTAGTACAGACTCTCTTATTAAATCCATCATTTATTGACATTTTGTAACTTGAAATTTGGCCTAAAATTTCTCTTGTACTCTTGAAATTTTGAGCTGTGTTTTGTGCTGTATAAAATCATGATACTCTGCAGATATGGTGTGATACATAATTAACCCTCTGAGCAGCAAGGCCGTATATATACGGCCTAGAATATTTTTTGTGACATCTGTAAGAACGTATATATACGTGCATATTAAAATATGTCAAAGAAATTAAGGCAATATATCAAAAAAGAAAACAAATCCAGGCATGAAATATCAGGAGAGATTTTACATTAAAATCAAAAAAATAATTTGTTCTCATAGTAGTTTTGGGAAATTTGTGCTTTCTTAGCAAAAACCCTGGCCGCTCAGAGGGTCAAACAAAAGAAATAGAAAATGTATTTAATTCAGTAGACAGTTGTATGAAGGAATTTGCTGGATTTATAGTATTAATTTTAATAAATAAAATATTTGTTTTAAAATATTTAATAATACAGCATAATATCTGTCTCCTTAATGAGTATTATTTTGAAGGGGTCATACTGCATAAAAAATATTAATCATATAAACTATTGAATTGAACTGAAAGCGGCTTCAAAACTCTGTTTAATAGTTTATGAGGTTTTTAATTCTTAATATAAATTTTGAAGCATCCTACATAGTAGTAATTACTTTAAGAATTATTTTGCAGAACACAGCATTGCTAAGAGACTTGCATTGGTACTTAGAATACACCTTTTTCTGTGTTTTATTCATATTCTTTCTTTTTTTCTCTCCGCTTTTTTTTTTTTTTTTAATATATACCATATTGCTAATTTGTTTATCTTAATTTAGATGTTTTGTAATGAGAATTTTTTTTCATGTTTCTACAGTATTTGGAGACTGTTCAGACAAATTATTTTGATGCTGCTAGAGAAAAGGGTGTCTATATTGTAGAAGCATGTGGATTTGATAGTATTCCTGGTGATTATGGCATTTCATTGTTGAAGAAAAAATTCTCTGGTAAAATTTCCTTGTGATTTATGTAATATTTAAGCAGTTTTTAATATGTTTAGTTAGTATTTATATTGTTAATATTTTTTTATATGTAAATTGTGATGTGCAATAAATGGCCTATTTTTAATATTTTAAGGTAGATTTATTCATTGATATAAATCTATTAAAATTTAAAAATTTTTAAATCATAATTTGGTGATTTCTATAATGTGATTTTTAACCTGTATGTTAATTTCTGAAAGTAATATTTGCATGAATATAATTGATCATTGTTTTTTTAATCATCATAACAAGCAAAATTACCATGAAAATCAATACATTTTTCTTCAAGTTAATATTTTTATTTAGTTATTTAATATCATTATTGGGGCAGAAAATTAGTAGAATTTCATAAAGTTGCAAAGCTTGTGTGATCAGTCATATTATATCTTGTATATTATAAGTCACAGAATGTATGTTTTACATCTGCTAGAAGTGGGATAATTACGCTAGTTTTAAACTTATAAAAGTTTATAAATTTTAACACTGTCTTATTTATTTTTCTTCATCTGATTGAAAGCTTTATTCAAATTTCAAATATGCAAAAGTAAGTTTAAATACTGCAGGTCTTTAACTGGAAATTTATACTAAAGATTAGTAAGATTATATTTGAGGTACCTTTCCTTTTGGAATGTTGTTTCTGTTCTCTGAATTTACCAAAGCTTTGAGAATTTGACAATCTCTCTCTGTTTTTTTAATAGTAAATTGAAATTTGAGAACTAGAATAAATGCCCTGAGTGGAATTACTGCCTTTATCCAGTTATAAGGGTTTTATTGGATTATAATTTAAAATATTTTACTTTTTTACTTTCTTTAATAACGTAAATATCTTAATGAATGGAAGTTTATGAAAGCAGAGACTAAAATAAGTAATTAAAAAATTTAACTAATAGGAGCTGTTTAAATACAGGTCATCATGAGCTGATTGAAAAAGCCATCCTTCTCAGAGGGCTAATTAGTAGTTAGAATAGTAAACTGTTAGTAGTTTTAGGCCAGTAGCTGTATATTTATTTGCAAGTTAAGGAATTTTCAAGTTTTGAGTTGAATGTTATTTAAGTTTGACTAATTGTTGTTCATATAAACTTTTAATTATGTAAATTATTTACTCTTGCAATGATAATAATTGATCATAACATTTATATAGCCTAAGATGGGCATAAAATAAAAATCTACCTGTGTCTACATTCGTATCCCAGATCTTCTTTACATACACAAAATACTAATTTCTGGAAAAAGTATTAAAAAACTGAAGGAATTTATTTGGAATGGCGATGAATAAATATCATTACACTTAAATACAAACCAAAAAATTAATATAAATTTATAAACACAGTGCTTAAGGGAAGGATTAAAGTAATAGGTGATAATGAAATTTTAGGGGAGGAACAGAATGAATATTTGTATATTAATGTAGTCTTAATGCATAAACATTTTTCATAATTAAGTCCATGAGAGATACTGCATATATGATAGTTATTTGTATATTTGAGAAAGAATTCTATATTTCTTTTGTATTAAAAAAGGTCATTGAAAATGTAAGATGTGGGCAGTAATCTTTAATGTACTATTCATCTGTTAGAAAAACTGGGCTAGTATTTGCAATTATTTGATTTCTTAAGTAAACTACATGCACTAATGTAAATTATTCATTTTTAATTAATTTAATTGAATATAATTGAATTTGAGTGTTGCATTGATCAAAAATTGTTTTCAGTTTAAAATTTCTTTCAGTTTTTATGTTGAAAATTTTAAGACAGCTAAAATACATAAAAAATTACTAATGCATTAGTTCATGTTTCAGGTGATTTGAATTCTGTGGAGTATTATATTCAGTTTGAGCGAGGGCCAAAGGTAATTCTATATTCTCTTTTAATTCTCTTTTTAATTTGCTTCCAGTTTTGATAATTTGATTTTGCTGCAGTAAATTTTAAAATTTACTCATTAGTTATGTTTCATTACAATGTTTTGGACTTTTATTTTTGCTTGTTGTGTTCATGGCTGTTTTTAAAATTAAAGCTTTTGCAATTTAAAGGCAATTTGATCATTGGTTTAAAAATTATCATTCATTTAGTGCATAATTATTTATTTAGAGTAAAATTTAGTCAAGATATAGCAAATTTGAAATTTTTCCAAATCTTTGAATATACATATGTTTTAGAAATGCTTGAGAGAATGCCACTGTTCAGTATACAGAATTAATTTCAAGAAATTTTCAGATAGAATCATTATAATAGTACTCAGTTGAAGCACCAAATATTTATTATCAGTATGAATGGTAAATATTGGAAGTAAAATGAATTGGGAAGTAAAATGAATTTAAACAGTTCATTATTAGAATGAAAAATAACAAAAATGAACATTTGTTATTCAACAAAATGTATGAATAGTAAATTGTATGAAGATTAATGTTTTAGTAATTTTTTTTAAATGTATAAAAAGAGAAAAAATGGTAATTTCCTTCCTATGTGAATATTTGTAATGATTCTTAGTGGTTTTATCATAATCATTTGTTGTTGATTAAAAAGTTAATCTTAATATGGACAGAAAATATTGAATTTAATGACTAAATCTCTTGCAAAAATTATGAAAACTTGTGGCTATTTCATTCAAACTTGATATTTCCTTCTTTGTTTTATAGTTCATAAAAATTTGTGGTATTTTTCTGTAGAATAACTTTCTTAGAGACTTCTCATTTTTTGTTTTAAATGAAAGTAAAGAACTAGACCAATAAAGGAATTTCATTTGCAAGTTATTTTTATACTTATGAGAAATGATCTTAAAATTATTAAAAATCTTAAGTTCTTATAGATGAAAAATTTTATTTAAATTTGATATGCATTAAAATTGTTATCTATATATGACAAGTAACTAGCTTATGAATAAATTTAAGTTGTATAATTTTGAAGTTTCTAAAATTTCTTAAAATTGAGAGAACACAATTGCCCTTTTTAATGAGGACAATCTGTCCAAGTTTTCTTTGGAAAATATTATATAGTTTATTTTCAAAACTATCAAATATCATTTAAAAAAATAGAGATTCATAAAACTTTCATTCTGTTCCTCAGGTAGCTTTCTTTTGAGAAGCAATGAGCTTGAGGGCATGTTAGAGGCTATTTTTGAAATTTCAGAATAATTAAAAAGTATTATACACAATAATGGTGATTATACTACTAATTTTCAATGCTGGTTTTGTGATATGACCTCAAAAATTTCTTTTATATTTTTTATAATATGATTATTCATTTATCTCTTTTGATTTAAACAATTTTTTTTTATTTGAATTTACTGTATATTTTTTGCAATAATATGTTTTCACCTTTTGCCTGATTTAGAGTTCATATTTATAAATACAAAGCATGCTCAAAGGAAAGTAGGACTGAATACCTGTATACTTATAAATGGAATAGTAATACATAGGTTTAGTTATATAAATATACTGATTTTATCAATTTAACAAATTTACAGGAGTACAAAATTGACATACCTGTAAGCAAAAATCATCCTGTTCATGGTTCAGATAATCGACTGTTTGCACATAATCACCTTTTTGGTTGAAACAAGTATCCTGTTGATCCTTGAGATTTAAATACCATCAATGAAATAAATTTTTGGTTATGTGTAGAACCATTCTTCAACCTTTTTCTGAGACCTCATCATTATTTGTGAACCTGCATCCCTTCATTGTTTTTTTTTTTTAATGGCTCAAACAGATGAAAATCACAAGATGACTAGTCAGGGTTGTAGAGAGGTGTAGAGTGCAAGAAGTTCTACAGTAGATCTTTGCGAATTGTGATAACCTACATGTTGCCATTCCATGCTCATCTGCTTCTTCTCTATATTGAAGAAATGACACAATATTTTGTTGCAAGCAACAGTACAGAATAAATGTACTGCTCTTCCCTCTTTGTGGTAACAAAGCAGATGCTGGAGGCAATCTTATTCATAAAGATTTCTGCACCTTAATGAAATGTTTAGGGGTGTATTTTGTTGAAACCTTGCTATAATAAAGGACACTGCAGTAATTGATTCTTCAATGATAATTTATTGTGTCTGATCTGGTCATAGCATGCCAACTGTAAATGATTAAAATTATTGCATCATTGGAAATCTGCTTTGCATGACATACACACAGTTCCATATACATTTTTGATTTAACTATGAATGTTGGTGTTCCACTAACACATTCAATTGAAAAAATGGGCTTACTTTACACTGAGCTGTTTTAGAAGAATCCTTGGGCACCACATTACTTGTTATGTCGCTTCTGCTTCACTTTGTGATGCGTTATCATGAATTGCTTTAAACTAGATTTCTTCTGTCATATGCAGCTGTCTTAAAATTTCTTATACATGGAATAACAGTTCCACTTTTATTTTGGGCACACTTTATATATACATATAATGTGAGAAATCTTGTGTTTCTTGATGTAAATGATAAGTTCTTATCGTAATTTATTCCTCTGTACAGTATTTGGTAATTTATGAAATTGTAGGGACTGAGTACAAATATTGGTACATTTCTATCTGCTGTTAACTCTGTTCCTGATCATTTACATGGAAAGAAATTCGATACCATGCTTAAAGAAAAAGTTTTTCATAAGGAATTAGTCAAAAGCAAGTATTCATTGCCTTGGAGGTAGGTTAAAATTTTAAGTATCTATTTTTATGTTCTTGAAAACTGGTATGTCAGTACTATAATTATTAAAATCATCTCTACGTATAATAAAAGAAAGAGTCTGTCTCTGTGTGTGTGTGTCTTTCGTACCCGCTGCACGTAAGCTAATAGACCCACGGCTACGAAATTTGGTACATAGGTGCATCTAGACAAGAGCCAGTGCACCTTGAAGCGATTTTTTCAAAATTTGAATTCGAATTTTTTTAAAGTTTTGTGATGAAATCGCATTATTTTGAGACATAATGGGCTATAGGAAAGTGAGATTTTACTCTAAACACTCCATTTTCACATCGTCATGAAACGTAGGCACTTAGCTATTTTACGAACTTAAAATAAATTTCTTGTTTAAATAAATCGATTAAATGCAAATTTATTTAACAAAGGGAGCTTAAGACGTTTTCAAAGGGATTTTTTCTAAAAAAGTTTATTTTTAAAAATGTACAGTTTATTTTTCTTTCATTTTTGGACACATTAAACTTTTATCCTTGCGACTGCTTTTACAAAAAGAATTTGGGAAAAATGATAGTATTTTGTATTTTAAAATAAAAATTTAAATGAAGCTTCCGAGTACACTTCTCACATCTTTAAAAATGTTATCTTGGGAACGATTTTCCTTTCTTATTGTTGTTCATAGATTTTTGATGAAATCGCATCATTTTGAATAGTTTCATTCTTTTAGAAATATGAGTTTGGCAACAATTTTTCATCATATTTCTTATGTCATTGTTTTTATGAGATTGGCATATTTCATTGTCATTTTTTATACATATTATACATTTTTATTGATTTTTTTTTGATAAAGTTGTTTTGCAGAGTAAAGTTCTGCTTGGAATTTTTTGTTTTGTGAGTTTCTTTCATGTTATTTTTTGCTTATTTCACTGTTTGTAAGATATTGAAAAGTTTTGCATGATTTTTTTTCTTCAACGGAAAGTTGGTTAATTTTTTATTAGGATAATTAATATTTGTATTAAGGGATATAGCTTATTTCATTGTAAATTTTTCTCTTGAAAATCTCTACATATAATCAAAGAAAGAGTCTGTGTGTCTTTCGTTCGTGGTGCACATAATCTAATAGACCCAGGGCTACGAAATTTGGCATATAGGTGCATCTGGACAAGAGCCAGTGCACCTCGAAGCGACTTTTTCAAAATTCGAATCAGATTTTTTAAAATTTTATCTTTTCGATTTTATTTATAATTTTAAATAGTTTCATTCTTTTAGAAATGTGGTTTTGGTAACAGTTTTTCATTCAATTGTATACTGGACTGCTGAAGATCATCACTTTTGCCACTTGGAAAAATGACGGCGATAATTCTGTGCAGTTTTTAAATTTAATGTTTCTCTTGGATACTGGACGTTTGTTAGGATAATTAATATTTGTATTAAAGGCTATTGCTTATTTCATTGTAATTTTGTTATACGTAATAATTTTTTTTAATGAAGTTGTTCTACAGAGTAAAATTTTATGCAGAAATTTAACGTTTGGTGTTCCCTTCAGGCACTTTTCCGGTACATTTAAAAGCCAGACGAAGGCTGACAGCATAGCTGCTAGTTAAGAAATAAATTTCTTTAATGTGTTCACAATGCACTTTAATTTGGGATTAGGTATTTCTTGCTGACAACAGGCATTCTCAGATCAAGGTGCATTTCTTGTAAAATCTGTGTTTGGTATTCATGCTATATAATGTGCATGTAGCCATAATGTTTCCTTTCATGTATGTTTGGCACATTATAACTTATATGCATCTTTAGTATCCAGTATCTTATTTTCTTCTGACCTTCTTTCCTTATTATATTAGTGCATCTATTTCTAGACAACACTATTTATTTTATGCATCTTATAAGATATACCAATTTGTGTTTGAATTATTAATCAGTGTTGAATTTCTGATAGTTTCTTTCTATCTATTGTTTAAAATTAATTGTTATCCTCATTTCCTAAGCAGTTTCTATTTTTTCTTCTAGTTTTCATCATTTTGATACTCTCTGAATTTTTTATATTTTAATTTCTAAAATCTTTGAGCAATATTTCTCTTCATTTTGAGGTTTGCATTGCTGTTAGATGTCAAACTGAAAAATTTCCAGCAGTTCTTGCATACGTTTACATATGTAACAGCATTTTCATCTTTGGTGAAATTAAGTTTTATAGTACTTTTATCTTGGACAAAAAATACTGGAAATAAAGTTATATCAAATAAAATCTATTTCAGACTTCAGAATAATCTGGCAGTTCTATTATTTCGTTTTCATGAAGTCTTAATCAAAATTATAAAAAGTGTATGAAGTGTTACTGATTGACACAGTTACGCTAACACAAGTGTTAGTAAGTATGTTAGTGTATGACTAACACTTAATAACACAATTTTTTAATTTTATATGAGTATTTATTTGTTAATGTTTATACTTTCTTACATTATGACATTTATTATTTATATTCTGAATTATTTTATTGTAAATTTCTGTTGTGTGCTGTACATTTTGTATAGTTTTTAATTTGTGGTCACTCACTTATTTTGTATTTATGTGTTGTTATTTTGCAGCACGTTTAATTTTATGCAAACTGATATTCAATAAATATGAAAATAGATGGGCTTATTCTTATTGAATAACATTATAAATGTGTACACTTTTAACTTGGGCTGATGAAACTTATTCAATAATCCAATGTGCATTTAATGAATGAATTCAATAAATTAAGGCTGCTTTGATTTTTTTTATTATAAAGTGAGTGGAGATGATAATTATTTTTTTCATGCAGAAATCATTTAATGTTAGCAGTTTAATTTAACATAATATTTAAATATATCAAAGAAGAATACTGCACTGCATATTGTGTTCTATGTAACTTGTTTTTATTATCTCTAAAGAATTGCATATAGTTTAATAGTAGAGGGAAACTGTTCTATACTGCTGTAAACTTCTGTATATGTTCTTCAAATTATTTGGTTATGTCTTGATTGAAATGTTTTGGTATATTGTTGTAGAAACCACTGTGTCATCTTTTGTTTTAAACTTCTATTGAAATCAGTTGACAGTTATAATTAAGGAAGAGTTTGGTTTTCTATCTTCAAAAAGAGTTTTGAATCATACAAAGTTTTGATTGAGTTTTATACACTGGTTATCATAAATTAAGGAAAAATCACGATTACTGAAAAAGTTAACTGTAGAATTTTATGAAACATACCCACAATGTACAACACATAGTAAGGTATCAAAAAACATAAAAATAAATTACCAGACAATTATGGTAGTATAGCAGTTAGCACATGTATAAAATGAACAAATCGAAGGTGTCAGTTTCCTATAGGAAAAGTACCTTCAATATGGAATATGGTCGCCTCTAGAAGCAATACAGCACATACAGAGATGCGTGATGCTTTCAATTATGCGGTCTATCAGTTCCATAGGAAGGAAGAGCCATTGCTCTTGCAAAGCAGTTGCAAGTGCGGCAAGGGTCTGAGGGGGCAGATTGAGAGCAGCTAGACATCTTTCTAAAGCATCCCAAATGTGCTTGATAGGATTCAAGTCCGGGGATCGAGCTGGCCATTCCATGTGTATAATTGTTTCATGTTGAAGATAATCATCTACGATGCGAGCAGCCCTGTGTGGTCTTGCATTATTGTCCTGTAACAGGAAAGCATCACCTATTGCCCCGGCTCATGGGCACACATAAGCATCAATGATGTCATCTCTATAAACCAGAGCATTCACGGTTTCTGTTAGAAAGACATGGAGGTCTGTGCGTCCACCCAAAGAGATGCCACCCCAAACACAGACACTGACTCTTCTGTACGCATCTCTTTAACAGATGTTTGACAAATGATAACGGGTTCCAGGTTCTCTCCATATCAAATAACGCCTACTATCACTTTCTAGACTAAATCTGGACTCATCCGTAAAGAGAACAGCCCTCCACTGATCAGGCGTCCAGTGGACATGTTGTTGTGCCTATTGCAAACGGTCCCTCTTATAGCGTGACGTGAGCGGCACACAAATGGCTGGTCGTCTCGCATACAGACCACCTTCGTGAAGCCTTCTACGCACAATTGACGTTGACCCAACCTTCCGGTGGCTGCAGTAAGGGAGGATCTAAGAAGAGTCGGAGTAGTGGTTCTATTCCTGCATGCACATAATGTCAAATATCGGTCATCGGCGCTCGTCGTAGCAGTTGGCCGTCCTTGGCTTAACCTCCTAGATGCCGAATCTATGGTTTGAAATTGCCTCCAAAGTCTGTGAACCACAGAAGGACTCGCATTTAGCCATCTGGCCACTTCTGTGTGACTTTATCATGCCTCTAGTCTCCCAATGGCTTTCCATCGTAGTTTTGCAGGCGAATGATGCCTGGAGTTCATTGTTACGAATTGGCTATCTCAGATTTCTAATGTCACTATCACAGTGAAATATGTGGGCTTGCTCTCAAACATGGACTTTTATTCTCCTCGCAGATTTCATAGTCCGAGTGCAGTGCCACTAATTTACATATTGCAGTTTTACTTAGCTACTCTTACTTGGCAACATATTCAAATGTTACACATTTTGGCTTATTTTTGAGGGAGTTATCGCTATTTTTGTGATTTTTCCTTAAGTTATGATAACCAGTGTAGAATTCAAGTATGCAGCCTCTACTGTTATGAAGTATGACGACCCTTGGTATAAATAACTTAACATATCTGTTAGAGATCTCTATTTAGTTGACAGTACTGTATGCTATTTGCAGTTTAAGATGAATTTGCTATGTGATTTTTAAATTTTCTTCTGTGAGCAATTTAGCACTCGCACTCTGTGCTTACAACTTGTTGAGTTAGAGATATTTAACCCTATATTTTTAAGTCTGTTATATTCATTCCTGTGTTAGAGTACTTCTACTTTTATATATAATTTTTGCATGACTTGCCTTTAACTGATATCTTCAAATATAAGAAATTATGCTTGGAGCAGTGATATAGGTTTAAGTTTTCCTCTTCGTCTGTTTATTTATTCTGCCAGTCTTTGCAATAATGTAAATCCTCCACAAACTTATCCTGCAAATGCATTAACATAGTTTTGGTTGAAATTTTCTTGATCTTGCTTTTGTTCTGTCATTTTTTGTTAAAAAATATGTCACTAATATATTCAAATTGTTAAAGCTTATTTTAGTTTATTTATATTTTAGAATTATGTATTGATTATTATTAGTACTATAATTTTCTTTCTTTCTTTTTTTCTTTTTAGAATGCCCCTTTTCTACAGTGATTTAGTTAAAGGATGGTGTTTCTGGTTTGTAGGTCCTGATGAAAGAATTATCAAAAGAAGTCAAATGTTTCGTTATGAATATCTGAACGAAAGACCGGTATGCAAAATAAAATTATTCTGAATCAAAAATCAAGAGTTTAACAATTTGTTTCACAAATAGAGAATACTGCTACTTTTTAAGATCTTATTTTATCCCTTTTGCCTCAAATTATGTGATGCAATGTTGAATAAATTGGTACTTAGTGCTGTTTAGGAACTGTGAGAGAGGGCGGAAGTATTTTATAACTCGTGCTAAAATAAAATCCAATATTCATCAACAAAAATGGTAATAAAATTTCAAAGGAGAAAATGCAAACTTTTTTAATAAACTAAAGAACTAAGCCACTAAACTATTAGTCTTAAACTTGCTTCTCAATAATTAAGAACAATAGAATTAAAAGATAATAATGCACTGTATTCATCAATATGCTCCTTATCCATGGACTATCCAGAGATACAGACTAAGAGTCGATAAGTCAAATTTTAAAAAGATGGGCATTCAGACAATCGTGCTTAGTCAAAAGATGAAGAATGACTATATGGTTACAGGATGAAAAAAATCTGAAATACCTAGCTTTGAACTAGTGAGACATTCCCAGGCCTTTTCCTTTGCTTCATTTGATAGGTAGGAGGCAATCCTCCCCTTAAATGTTAATTTAATTTGGCCACAATGAGCAGGAATGCACTGCAAGACAGTTCAGTCAGCCAGAGTGATGAGAATCTTCCTACATTTGTAAATTCATTCGGAAGTGCAAAATATATCGTTGGAAATAGCTTCCAAAGTACCTTTGCTGTCAGACAAAATAACAGCCCAAGAGAAATTATTCTTCCGAGCGCTTAATTGATTCAGAGCAGCAAATATAGCCTCAAGTTCACCATCAAAATTGGTAGTCTCTCTTCCCACTGCCGTATAGAATGCAAAATGGTTACAATAGATTCCTACACCAGCTCCAGTACCTCACTCAATCATGGATCCATCAGCGAGGCGATGCTGTGACAGATTTAGCTTTAACTAGGGTGCACCACAAGGAGACCTGTCACGTTATACCCCTTATCAATTCCATGCTGTTCTGCACACTCAATCTCAAAACTTCTGGTTGCTTTAAAAGGTATAAAAAGATGTACCTGTAGTTACACTCATGCCATCTTCTAGAGTGAAAATGGATGCATGTGTGTGTATATATATATGCTATAATTTCTATAAATATCTTGAGATTCTTTACTGTGTAGCTAGAATGAGGACTCCTTGCATTAACTTGGCAAAAGCTGATGGCATCATAGATCTATAGCAGAGAGGAAAAACATGCAGACATGGTCATAGACAAGACATAATTTATTGCTGGACACTTATTTCTTAGGACACGTATTTTCACTCATACATGATAATGGGCGCAATATGTACTCCACAATTTTGTATATCTTACATTTTGATGGACTAAACACAACAGAGGGGGAACAACACATCTTAATGGCAGGCAGCAAGGTGAAGTAGAAAAAGGGAGAAAATAAGTGCAACATTCAAAAAAGTAGTCAATAGGTTCTTTATTCTGATTGGATGAGAGCTGTCTGCAGTATTATATAAGCAAGCATAAAATGGATTAATTTTGAAAAGATGCACTTCAGAAAGTTATTCTAAATATGTGCCACTTTTAGAAGAGAATGGGAAATTAAAAAGTTAATAAAGGCATAAGTTTTATTTTCGTGTAAAAGTATGTTTGCCGAGTATATATAATTACATACTACACAAATTTACAATCAACTAGGAAGTGATTTTATGGTAAAGTTGCACATGTTCCATCTTTTTCTGATACAGTCAAAAGTCTTTAATCCGGAATGATCTATAACCCGGACCTCAAAGCTACAAACTTTCTGCGTATGCGTTTACGCATGAGCATAATACTTTTACGCATGAGCATAATACGTTTACGCATGCGCGTTTAATGTAGAATGGACGGTATAAGCTAAGCTAAAATTATCTAATCATCTATTTCAGTTAATGTAATGGAATTGCGTTGTTCCTTAATCTTAATTGGATCTGGCGTATTATTTTTTGCAGACTGTTAGAGCAATTTTATAAAGTAAGCTTGAACTTTTGATTATGTCAAAAAGAATTTCCGATTCTGGAGCTGCAAAAGGATCTACAAAGCGAAAGCATCTTTTGATGTCTATCAAATAAAAAGTGGAATTGCTGCAAAAAATGGATAAAGGAATATCCTTTTTTTCTTTAACCATTCCGAAATCTGTTTATCAATTTCACGCTGCTCTGCCGGGGGGGGGTCGCGGCACGCAATAAACTGGAAGTTGATCTGTCAGCATTATCCTTATCTTCAGGGCAGATGTTTTTATTTTATTTGGCTTATAATTCCTTACTAAATGTAGTATTTCATCTCGATGTACTCCGTCTTTGGTATGATTTAAATCAAATTCTTCGTCGTTATAAATATCATGAATACACATCAAATAGTTTTCTGGTTGCAATTTTCTAATTTCGACTATGCGTAATGTATGCTTTATGCATGCGCGCTTTGAAAGAAATGTTTAATAAAGTAAACAAATAAATATTAAGCATTTTTTCTTTTTGTAAATTTTGATACCCTTTAGATAATAATTTCTCTTTATTTCATAAACTACGGTTTCATATTTTTAATTTTATAATTTCTGCATGCCATCTTACCAGATTTAAACTGATGATCTATAATCCGGAATCGCCGAAGTCCCGACGAGTCCAGATTAAAGACTTTTGACTGTATAAATTTAAAAAACATTCTCTATTCGTAAAAAGCAAATTTAAAGTTAAATTTTAAATAATGAAATTAATGCAAACAAATGATTAATTATTCCTGCGAACTAATCTACAATATCATTTAAATTCTAAGAGCATATGTAAATAATTGCAAGTATCAAAATCCATGAATAAATGTAAAATTCAAAAAATATTTTTAATTCCAAAAAGTTTAAAAAAAGGGGGGCATAAAAAATGCATAAGTGAATAGTTGTTGAGCAGGCAGGTGACAGATTTAGAAAGGTGAAGTTGCCTCCAAACCTAACTGTTCAATTAATCCATTCGTGTTTTGTCATCCATGTAGGCGAGGGTAAAAGTCAAAACCAAAAGTTGTGAATTACTAAAAAAAAATTTAAACAAGTGGAATTTTGAGAAATTAGCAAGTAAATGATATTTTTTCAATGTGTTTCCAGTTTTGCTTCATTTAGTTAAAAATGATATTAATGTCACAACTGATAAATTGCAGTCGTAGTTTTGCAGTTTACAAATAGAAAACTTGGATAAAGTTATAAAATCAGCTAGAATTGACACTCGGTGGAGTTTAATTGGAAAACTGGAAGGTACTGGTGGAATTTTAAATTAGACCATCCTGACAGTTTCCCAAAGTGATGCAAATTGGAGAGGATTTTCAATGTTGTTGCAAAAACAGAGATTAAATTTAGATCTTATATTAGTAATAACACATTAGAAAAACTTTTATTACAAAATCAGGCCTACATGGCAATTGCTATGAACAAAATTATGAAATTTTTTTAATGAAAGCAAAATCTGCCACTGTTCATAGCATTTGTATGAAAACTGATTAAAATATTATTATTTTAAAAGATGCAAATAATAAAATAAAATTTTACATACAAGTATTTTTTATATATATATATATATATATTTGCATTTACGAATTAGTAACTTTTTAAAGTTAATACACACACTATTAAAAGATATATTTTTATCATTTAAAAATCTTTTTGTCATTGAGAAAAGTCTTTTGATTTCTTAAAAAAATCGCCTGATTTTTAGTGTCGTAGGTTGGCAAGTATACATACATATGTGTAGAGACATTTTGAAATGGTTCAAATTTGGGATTTTTACCTTTGTCCATGATGCTTGCAATTTCAGTATGTCTTTTCTCAGCGTTCACATTTTTGAGCTTCTTTAGCAGCTGATAGCCTATTAAGTGCCCAAACAGATAAGATCACTGAATAGTGGTTATTCAACCCAGGCTCAATTCTTTATAAACAGGCTTGTGGCATGTGGGCATTTTCATGGTTTTTGCCATGTGTAAAGTAACTACAAGTCAGTTTCCCTTAGAAAGTTCATCACAAAAGCATCATCTCATCTAGAAGGATAGTCATAGTGGACTGTGCCATAATCTAGTAAATTCAAATTATCAGTTATTGAAGCTGAGTTTATTTACCTAGAAGAAAGTTTTGTAACTATCCTGTTGGCATGATGATAAATAAGCCAGCTGATATAACCTTAAACCTTAGCTCGAATTTCTAGAGAAGGCATCGATGTTTGCAAGTGCAAAGTGTATGTGCTATATGGTGGCACTTAAAATACTGTCAATCAAAAAGGTCTCTCAAGAAGATGGTGACAGGGAAAGAAGAAAAAAGAAACTATTTCATCTGTCCCTCAGGATATTCTCCTTTGAAACTGGGATGTAGCTGAGCAATCATGCTGTCCCTGAAATCATCATAGCCAAGAGGCAGAGCTGTATTAAAAATTAACCAAAACAAACACATGCTTAGGGCATCAAGTGAAAGATGTACCAGTAAAACGTCCTTGGGAACTGAGCAAAGGAGGGCACCAAAAAAATTTTCCATTACTTATTTTACTGTTGGTTATATGGTACAGGTCAACCAAGAACAAGAGAGAAGGCATGCTTAGGATCTATAAGTCTTAATCCAACCCTGTCATGTGGTAATGGACACTTTGGTTAATGAAAAGTGCTCCTTTCCATATGGCTATGATAATTTCATGGATCTAGAGATCCTGTCAGATCAGGAGGATTAGAAAGAACAAAGTTTTATGAAGATGCTGAAGTAATCTTTTTAGCTTTCTTTTTCTTCTTTTTTTTATGTGCACCAAATTTGTAAACTTAATAAATCATGCTTAAATGTTAGGGGAATTCTTCTGTACTTCTGTTTGTATTACACGTGTAATATATTATGTCATCAAAAAGTACTTTATGTCATCAAAAGCTTGCCAATATTTCATTTGGATGAAAGTAATGGATCATTTTTCTGAATTACAGTTCTGTTTTAAATGTTTTATTATATACAATGGTA